ATGAGATGTGGTGTCGCTGGGGTGGGCGGCTGGACGAGCTGCCTGGGGGTGGCAGGGCAGAGGCTGCCAGGCTGTAGGAGACTTGAGCTCGGTGAGGGCTGGTGGAGGATGCATGCAAGGAGCCAAAGTCTGCATACTCCTGGCCGTGTCACCTGGCAGGTTCCCTGGACTGCCCCACTGTCAGTGAATGTGGTGCGTGGCTGGTTTCTGTGGCTTGCTGCACAGGGTTACCAAAACCTCCCCGCTGCTGGCATGGGAGGGAGTGTAGTATGTCATTGTTGTGGGCAGGGGGGTGAGGGCATTGGGGGAAAAACTTTTCTCTTGTGTCTCCTTCCCTCTGAGCTGCTGGGGCCCGAGCTGTCCCAGCCAGGACGTGCTTCCCCAGCCACGGTGGCTGTGGTTACCCCAACATCTGGCTGCTCCTCTGGCCTGGCCCAGCTCCCTCTGCTCTGCTGCTGGTGCCAGGCAGACCTGTTTTCAATGCCAGCACTGCTCCTGGCACAGGTCTGTCTGGAAGGGCACACTGTGGTGCCAGGCCTCTGGCCTCTGCTCCCACACTGTCCCTGCCGGGATGGGTCTTGCTCTACTGGACTGGCTCCGTGGAGCACAGGGCTCTGTGCTGCCAGAGCTCCTGACAAGCCTCTTACAGGCTCAGATCCAAGGACATGTCAGCAGTCATGTGCCTTCATGTGGGGCCCATAATGGGATTGCCCTCCTGCCTGCTCAGGGGAAGTGGCTCCTCCATGTGATCTGGGAATGGCTGAAGTGGTCCTGTTCCCTCAAAACCTTCTTCTCCCTCTTCCTGGTGGACAAAACTTGCTCCTGCCAGCCCTGGGCTGGTTTCTGGCCCCTGGAAGACTGGGACTGCACTGGGGTCCCCCACTGAGGTGCTGGCACTCATGTCCTACTTCCACACTGTGCCAGGAGCTTGGCTTGGGGAAGTGCCACCCACTCAGGCCGGGGCTGGCACCAGCCATAAGGAGGAGGGCTGGTCGTGTGTGCTGCTGAGTCACCCCAGAGCAGGGGCTATCAGCCTGGAGCTGCTGCGCAGCCCCCCCAGGGTGCCTGGCCCGCAGGCCTGCCCCAGCCCTTGTTTCAGCTGTGTGGCTTGGCAACGCTGGCTTGGTGACGGTGCAGCACTCAGCACAAGGCTCCTGTGCCCTCTGCAGCAGTGAGGTACCTGTGCTGCTGTCCCCACTGTTGGGTTGACATGTGCAAGGCTGGACTGAGGGGCTGGGAGTGCTGCTGGTACCAGCTGGTGGCCAGTTTGGAGCTGTCTATGCCCTCTTGCCCACAGCGTACCCAGAGAGCCTGCCTCTCTGCTGTCTGTAGCTGGGCCTCCCAGCACAGAGCCTTGGGCTCCTCAGGGCTCCTCCAGCTGCTCAGCTGTTTTGGTCCCATTCCCTCTGGACAGTTTGGGATCAGCTCCGTTCAATGGATTTTGGAGCCAGTGCAGGGATCACTATCCCCCTCCCTCTCCTGCATGTATGTAATGAGCAGTGGTGAGCAGTAGCTCTCCCCAGCTATCCAAAGGTCGACTGGGATGTTTACCAGGGGATGGCATCATCACTGGTGTCTTTTGGTACAAGAAGGGTTGTTTCCAGGTGTGTGGGCTGGGTATGAAGGTCTCTGGGCAGCACCCTGCTCTTGTGGGATGGGGCACTGGCTGGGGAGGGGTCCCTCCCAGCCCCTGCCTGCCTGCCTGCCTCCCTCCTGGGAGCTGCGGGGTCTGCCTGGTCCCAGGGGCTGGTTGTTGCCCCGGCGAGCAGCTGTTCTGTGCCCATTCCTGAGTGTCCCCACTGTGGGCTGGCTTGAGGGGGGAGTGTCCCAACTCTGCCAACTGCCTTGAGTCAGCCCTTCTCTCTCCCACTCACAGAAAATCATTGGTGTCTTCAAGCCCAAGAACGAGGAGCCATACGGGCAGCTGAACCCCAAGTGGACCAAGTGGCTGCAGAAGTTGTGCTGCCCGTGCTGCTTTGGGAGAGACTGCCTTGTCCTCAACCAGGGCTACCTGTCGGAGGCAGGCGCCAGCCTGGTGGACCAGAAACTGGAACTCAACATTGTTCCCCGCACGAAGGTGAGGGGACAGCTGCTAGGATCTCGTCCCAGGGAGGCTTTCATGTGCTTCTACACAGCTCTGCTTGCGCCTTGTCTTGTGGCACTGCTGGCCTCGGAGATGTTGTGTTGAGAGCTCCGGACCTGGACTGCTCCTGCTCAAGCTGTGGGGACCCTCCTGCTGGGCAGAGCTGTGGGAAATGCTGTGTCTTGGTTTTATCAGCCAGTCCTGTGACAATTGCCAGGTGCCTCTGCTGACGTCTGTGCTCCTGTTCCCCCAGGTGGTGTATCTGGCCAGCGAGACCTTTAACTACAGTGCCATTGACAGGGTGAAGTCCCGAGGAAAGAGACTGGCCCTGGAGAAGGTGCCGAAAGTCGGCCAGCGCTTCAACCGCATCGGTCTGCCGCCCAAGGTAGGGCTGCCAGCCTCCGTGCCTGCCTGTCGCCGCTTTTCCGTCCTCTGCGGCCTCCTGTAACGCAGCCTCTCCTTGCTGCAGGTGGGCTCCTTCCAGCTCTTTGTGGAAGGCTACAAGGATGCTGACTACTGGCTGCGGCGGTTTGAAGCTGAGCCACTCCCGGAGAACACCAACCGGCAGCTGCTGCTGCAGTTCGAGCGGCTTGTGGTGCTGGACTACATCATCAGGAACACAGGTGGGGCCCTGCTGTGGGGTGCTGCCTGCTCCTTCCATCTTGCCAGCTGGAGAAAGGGGAGTGGGGCAGGGGCTTGACATCTCTTCCCGGCACCCAAAACTCTCTCAACACCGCTTGGTTGCTGCCAGGTGGCAGTTGCCTCTGGGTATGCTGTGGCTGCCCACCACCGCAGCTATGCTCTGGCTGCTGGCCTGCCTTCTGGGAGATCCAAATCCACTGCGGTGCTGGGGTGAAAGTTTGTCAGCTGTGAGGATCCAGGGTCATCCGGAGATCCGTCACCTGACTGTGCCCCTGTATCCCATCTCACGCTGGGCTTCCGAGTTCCTGCCAGGCTGGAAGGGGTCAGAGTAGCACTCCAGGGCTTGAAGGCTGACCTTTCTCTTGCAAGGTGTGGATATATGGACCTCTCCAGTCTCCAGGGCTGGTTGTGTGGGGGTTGATGTGGCTTCCCAGGCCTGCAGCAAGCTCGAGGGCTCTGGGGTAGAGTTTGGGCCTAAAACTGGTCTGTCTCACTTCTGGGTCAGAGGAGAAGTGATCTTCTGCCCGGCGTGGTGCAGGCAGGCCCTGGTGCTGTCACAGCTGGTTTTATCTCCCTGCAGATCGGGGCAATGACAACTGGCTCATCAAGTATGACTGTCCCCTGGACAGCGCGGGCGTGCGGGTGAGCGGCTCTTCTCGGGCAGGGGCTCTGCAGGGGGGTTCTGCTCCTCCAAGCTGCCTGCCTGGCAGGCAGGCTGGGGATTTCCCAGCTAGCTTGGGTTTCTGAGCATAGGGAGGCCTGATCTTGTCTCCTGGGCCTTTCATTGCCCTCTGCATCACTGGTTTGTCGCCTAGTGGGACTTTGTGAGGATGCAGCTGGGCTCTGTGGGGGAAACTGGTGTGGCTGGACCTTTGCATCCTTGGCGAGGGGCAGCTTTGTCCCCCTCCCACCAGAAGCAGACAGTGTTTCCCTGCAGGCAATGGGCCACGCTACGGGCAAGAGGCCTCTGTGGTAGCTAGGGCAAAGATCCTGGCAGTGGGGCTGCAGGGAGTGGGAGAGGGACTGTTCCCGCTGGGGTGGCCTCCTTGTGACATGCTCCACTTCCTTCCAGGACAGCGACTGGGTAGTGGTGAAGGAGCCCATCATCAAGCTGGCTGCTATAGACAATGGTTTGGCCTTTCCCTTGAAACACCCGGACTCCTGGAGAGCATGTGAGTCCCTTGGGCTGTGCCAGTGCACCCTGGTGAGCCATACAACTCTGCACTCAGGCATCCTCCTCAAGGGCTGGAGAGGAGAGGGCCAGGGCTGTCCATCTGCAAACCTTCTGGGTTCAGGGGCAGCTCCACCTCAGCAGAGGCTGTAGGAAGCGGGTGCTGGACCCTGTGTCCCAGATGCAGGTGATCTGGCACACAGGGACATGCGGCACCATCCTTTGCCTTCCCCAGCTCTAATGTCTCCTGCTTCCTCCCACAGATCCATTCTACTGGGCATGGCTGCCCCAGGCCAAAATCCCCTTTTCACAGGAGATCAAGGACTTGATTCTTCCCAAGATCTCAGACCCCAACTTTGTCAAGGACCTGGAGGAAGATCTGTATGAGCTCTTCAAGGTGAGCTGGGGAGCAGGTGAGGATGGCTTGGGAGGGAGAAAAACAGGGTGGTGTTGGGGAGCTCCCTGTCAAGGCTGGAGGGGACAGAAAGGTGGCCAAACTCCTGACTGTTTCTGGGCTGAGGCATAGCTGGGTTATCCTTCTGCCAGGAGCTGAAGATTCAGTGTGGAGAGAAGCAGGAAACCCATGGACCAGGAGGAGAGAGGCTTGCTTGGGGAATAGGTGTCTCTTGCATGGCGTGGGGCAGCGGGTGGATCCCACTGTGTTCTCTACTCTCTCTCTTGCAGAAAGACCCTGGCTTTGACAGAGGACAGTTTCACAAGCAAATCGCTGTCATGAGAGGCCAGG